TTATTTTTTAAGGTGCAGAGAAGTCCTAGTCTACCTTGTTTAGTCCAGCATTTCCCAAACTTACTACCATCAAACTGTTTTACAATAAGGGGGAAGACAGTTAACAGCTGCCCGCTACAAGAGGGCTACTCCCTAATCCCAGGAAGCTGTGCCTTTACCTGGCAAAGGGAACCATGGAGATGTGATTAAGATAATGACCTGGAGAGGGGGGATTATCCTGGATTACCCCGCGGGCCCAGTGCAATCACAAGGGTCCTTTATAAGAAGGAGGTGGTAGGGTCAGGGCGGGAGATGTGACGATGGAAGCAGAGGTGGAGGAGCAGAGGCTGTGCTGCTGGCTTTGCAGGCAGGGGAGGAACGTCAGTCGGGGAAAGCGGGAGCCTCCGGGAGCTAGAAAAGGCAGAGAAGTGGGTTCTCCCCTAAAGCCTCCAGACAGAAAGCAGCCGGCCGACACCTTGGTTTTAGAACTGCTGACCCCCAGGACTGTAAGAGGCCTTGTGTTGCTTCCAGCTACTAAATCCACGCTATTTATTACAGCAGCAGCAGAGACAAACACAGGACACCTGAAACCAGCTCTCGGGAGGATCTGGCGGGAAGGGCTGGAGCAGCAGACACCCGGAGTCGGGGTCAGGGGGCACCTAAGTGGCCGACCACCAGCAAGTCGCACCTCTGGGTGCTTCAGTTTCTTCTGCAAAACAATGACGATCATCTCCTCTACCTACATTTTAAAATTTTTATGAGAGTAAATATTATAGACGTATTTTGTGAGACTAACTCAAACTCCTCAATTACAACTACTAAACAAAGGGGTAAAACAATGCCTAAGGAAGCTTTAGGAGAAAAATTTTAGAATTTCCTGAACTTTCAACAAGGATTTGTAATGAGGGACTGAAAGTGTTTTAACAACTTTTTGTTTTTGCTTTAATGCACTCAGCAGAAAAGCTGACCGACAAACATTGTGTACACAGGTTGACATATCTTTAACCTTCCTTCCCTTTCATCCAAACATCTTTCCTTTCAGAGAGTCAGTATATATTTTGTTCTTGGGGAATGATTTTAAACAATTTTTTTAAACTTTTTTCCTCCCAAGAATTACCATGAAGGGCAAAACCTGGAGACCACAAGGGCTGCCTCCCCCATTTGAAAAAGCCAGGCAAAGTCTGAGACTTCGGGATGGCAATTACTCTCTTTCTTAACAAGCCACCAAGCAATCAGGTTCGCCAAGAATCTCTAAACACTTGAGAGCAAGCCTTCGCCTGCGGTCCTGGGGTGTTTGATTCACGTGCGAAGATGCCGCGCCACCTGCTGGACCTGGTAGGCATAGAACCAGCTCCCGCCCGCGCTGAGCCAAGCGCATTACATCTCTACACTCAGGATGGGCCAGCCTGTGAAAAGATGAAACGCCCAAAACCTCTCAACTGGCTACTTTAAATGGGCAAATTGTATGATATGTGAATTATATATCAGTAGAAAATTTTTTTTAAAGAATGGGGAAAAAATTATTCTACAAGGGGATTGTGGCAGTGGAATTTTGATTTGACACCTAGATTTTCCTCTAAATGACGGGACATGTTGTTTAGTAAGGTCCCACAGCAAACGTAACCTACCGAATAGCTGTAGCCAAGAAAGGGTTTATTATGTCCAAAGTATGATTTTAATTGGAGCCCATCTAGATATTTCAGTCCTTTCTGCTCGCTTAGGACAATGTGCCCCCACAAACTAGCACCCACTGCCATTTCTTTTAGGGTGAAATCCACCCCTGCGAGTTCTCTGCAGGGTCTTTGGTTGATCGGGGCCTCTCATTACATTAAAACAAAATTCATAGCTGCCATTACAATTTGCATCACAACAATGTAAACAAAGAACAAATTCTCGCAAAAGAAAAAACAGATAAAAGGAAATAGCACAGTATCAACCGCAGCTGTGTTTTGGTAGGACCATGAGAGATTTTTTTTTTTCCCCCAAGAAAGCTGAAAGTTCTACCTAAGTTGACACAAGGCAGCCACCTCCTCGTGGTCCTGTCGTCCTCCTGTTTTCCAAAGGACCTTTCCACCCCTGTCCAGGGTTTATCCTGCACGCAGCCGAAACGCGAAGTCGCTACAGAGGCAAACCACCCAGGCAGGAAAAAGATGCACAACGGCACGAGGAGCGAAAAGGGCCACTCTGGCCGCGGAGCCTGCTGGAGCCCCGCTGGAGGCCTGCGCCCAAGGAACCGGGCGCCACGCACACTGCCTGAGCACCTGCCACCACACCTGGAAAAGAAAGGCTCCTCCCAGACTATCCAAAAAGTCCCCTCTCAGAGCTCACAGACTCACCTTCTAGGGACAAGGCCTAGCTCCGGCTCTCAGTCGGTGGCCATCAAGTCTGGAAACACACACAAGCGCCCAGCACACGGTTACGGACACGGAATAACAGGGCAAAAGGATCACCCGCTTCCGGACTGGGTGACCACTTTGTAAGAGACAGCAGTCCGCCTCCTTCCATCGTCTTTCCTCCCCTGGCATTAACCGCAGAAACGGGGACGGGGGGTGGGGAAGGGGGTCTGTCTTTGAGGAAGGGCCACTGAAACCCAGCCGGACCTCCTCGGCCCTTACCGTAGCGATGGACGGTCCCTCAGCGAGCACCTGCAGCCTGGAACGACACTCCATCAAACCGGACGCCAAATAACGGGGACACGACACTCAAGAAGGCGCTGCAGCAAAAGGGAGCTCCCCGAAACAGGATAACGGACGTCCAAAAAAGAGCCCAACCAGAGGACCGGAGAAAGGAAGCCTGCACAAGCGAGGTCGCGGGCGCAGAAGGAGACACCAGCCGCGCGTGCGGCCTTCCCGCAGCCTCAGCAGTGCGAGCGAGGGCCGCCGTGGGTGGCGCCGCGCGCTGACGGCCCGCAGCTGGTCCGCGGGGCCGGGCTGCTCGCTGCGCCCCGCCCGGGCGTCACCTGCAACGCGCGGAGCGTGAAAACCTGGAGGTAGAAGGAGGGGTCAGCTCCCAGGGCCTGAAGTAAACCGTGCTAACGCCTCGGATGAGAAGCAGCTGTTTTCTGGGGCGTTGTCCGTACAAGGAGGCTGAATACACAGCGGCGATGAGTTACCGAAAGGCGCCGGCGGAGACCAGCAGGCCGGTGCACGGCGCGGCCTCGGCTCGCATTTCGTTCTCCAAGGCGGCCTTCGCCGGCCTCCTCCTTGCCGACTCTCGGGCTGCTCCGGGGGCACCTCGTCCAAGCATCCTCGGCCAGGAGGCTTGTAGTGTTGTCGTTGACCTTTCTTGGTTGGTCATCTCCTCAACCAGATGGTAGCTCCTCAAAGAAAAGGACTCTCCGCCACCTTGGGCTCCCCGGGGCTGGCCCCGTACTGGCCAAGAGCAGGAAGGGGCCCGGAGCTCTCCATCCCGTGCCAAAGGGCTCAACGCATCGTTGCGCTGAAGTCTACCAACCGCAGGATCGCGGGGCTTCAATAACAGTCAGCCGCCCCCAACTTCCTTAGTAGGGCAGGATGGCAGGCTGCGAGGGACAGGCTGCGGGGTCAGACCCGCGGGGGTCCCTCTCCCAGCTCTTGTCATCTGCTAGGCGTGTGGTCTTCGGATCCACGGGCAAGTTCTTTCACGTCTCTGCCTCAATGTCATCACCTTAGCAGGGGCGTTAATCGTACCCTCTCTGGTTGTCGTGAGAACACTTAGCACAGAGGCTGGCGCTTAGGACGCACTCAATGTATCATGCTCATTACAGGCTATTCTGTACAGGTTATTATATACCCCCTTTTATTGTGCTCCGCAGATGTTGCATCCTTTACAAATTGAAAGCCAAGACCCTCCTCCAGCCAAAAGATGAGGCCTCTCTTTGTGGCGATACTTTGTTGTGGTGGCCTGGAACCGAACCGGCAGTATCTCCGAGGTATGCCTCTGTCCTTCACCCTGCCCTGGAACTGAGCAACTTCGCCGAGTCCTAGTAAGAGATCACACATCTCTCTGCTTTTATCAGAAGCCACTTAAAAGCTTGGCTACCAACTTGCTTGGTCTGGGTTCTTTTGAAAATTAAGCTGGCGGAGGTCCCTTGCAACTTGAAGTTAAAAAAAAAAAAAAAAAAAAGTCTACGGCTCAGCTTTTCCTTTGTTTTATTAGTGCCTCTGAGTTTCCAGGAGCTACCTATTGGCATGATCACTATGGGTGGTGTCCCTGTCAGGAAAAGCAGCCTGGGACCCAGCTGAGGCATATGGGGTGGCGGCTGCACTGTTGCTGGGGTCGCGGCGTGCGTGCGGAAGCCCACTTCCAAGCCCGGGACACCACCAGGCGTCAAAGGCAGCAAATTCCAAGTCCCAGCATCCTCTGTTTCCCTGTCTCCCTGCTGCCTCTTCTGTCCTCCCTTCCTACCTAGTACTATCCTTTTCGGCTTGGTCCTTCTAAGGCACAATCTCTCCCTGGTTCCATAATTTTTTCCCCCCCAATCACAGCCTCAGAACAGAGTAATCCCTCTACTGAAGGCTGCTCAGCATTCTAAGGACAAAGAAATGTGCTCTAACCTACACCAGATCCGCTGGATCAAACCACCCGGGTGATTCTGGTGCATGTGTAAGTTTCGAGGATGTAGTGTTTGCTGCATTACGGACCTCAGTCAAGATTTCAGAAACAGCTGGTTGAAAATAATTGCCTTGATTGGCTCTGGCGACCCCCCAGGAACCTATCCCACTTACATGTTATGCTCTCCTCATTTATCATTTATGGGTGTATTGGGTTTTTTTCTCCATGAGGCTGACACTTTGCTATTAGGTTTGCTAATGAGCAGCCACCATGCGCCCCTGCTGCCTGTCAGTCAGTGCAGCCAATGGATTTTCCGTGCCGCACAGAAGAGCTTAGCAGTCAAGCTCCCTCCACATTTTGTTCTCAGAAAATAAGCAAGGGGAGGGTCCAGAGGTCTCATTTGACTCTGGCGACAGCGTATTTATTTCCTACGCAAAAGAGCCAAGGCCAAAAGACAAAAAGCAGCTAAGCTCTGGAGAGAGGCGAGGATGGAAAAGGCGACGCTGGCAGCCACCTTTGCAGACTCCAACTCCAGCACCATGAACGTGTCCCTTGCTCACCTCCACTTTGCCGGGGGGTACCTGCCCTCTGACTCCAAGGACTGGCGGACCGTAGTCCCAGCTCTCTTGGTGGCTGTCTGCCTGGCGGGCTTCGTGGGGAACCTGTGTGTGACCGGCATCCTCCTTCACAGTGCTTGGAAAGGAAAGCCGTCCCTGATCCACTCCCTGATTCTGAATCTCAGTCTGGCTGACCTCTCTCTCCTGCTGTTTTCTGCACCCGTCCGGGCTACGGCGTACTCCAGGGGTGTTTGGGATCTAGGCTGGTTTGTCTGCAAATCCTCCGACTGGTTCATCCACACGTGCATGGCAGCCAAGAGCCTGACCATCGTTGCAGTGGCCAAAGGGTGTTTCATGTATGCAAGTGACCCAGCCAAGCAAGTAAGTATCCACAACCGCACCATCTGGTCAGTGCTGGTGGCCATCTGGGCTGTGGCTAGCCTGCTGTCCCTGCCAGAATGCTTCTTTAGCACCACAAGGCTTCACGCCGGTGTGGAAATGTGCCTCGTGGACATACCCGCCATGGCCGAAGAGTTCATGTCCGTGTTTGGCAAGCTCTACCCTCTTCTGGTGTTTTGCCTTCCATTCCTCTTTGCCAGCTTTTATTTCTGGAGAGCTTATGGCCAGTGTCAAAAACGAGGAACTAAGACTCAAAATCTGAGAAACCAGATGCGCTCGAAGCGGCTCACGGGGATGTTGGTGAGCATCGCCGTCACCTCTGCTGTGCTGTGGCTCCCGGGATGGATAGCGTGGCTGTGGATGTGGCATCTGAAGGCTGGGATTCCGGCCCCGCCGCAGGGTTTCATAGCCCTGTCTCAGGTCCTGATGTTTTCCATCTCTTCGGCAAATCCTCTCATTTTCCTAGTGATGTCGGAAGAGTTCAAGGAAGGCGTGAAAGGATTATGGAAATGGATGGTAACCAAAAAGCACCCGGCTGCCTTGGAGTCTCAGGAACCACCAGTTGGTAACTCAGAGGCCCTTCCTGACAACGTGCCCTCTCCAGAGTCCCCAGTATCCATTCCAGAAAAAGATAAAGCTGGCTCTCCCTCCTCCAGAAAAGAGAAAGCTGAGAGGGCAGAGATTCCTGTCCTCCCTGACGTAGAGCAGTTTTGGCATGAGAGGGACACAGCCCCTTGTGTGCAAGACAATGACCCTGTCCCCTGGGAACACGACGATCAAGAGACAGGAGACAGGGAAAAATGATTACGTCTCAAAGCAAAACAAATTGTGATTATTGTAGTTACTTGTACTGCTGTTCATCAATATGGCTGACGTCATATAAAACAAAAATTAACCACCTTAGGAATTACAAAAATTGCTTCACAGCCCACATATTCAAAATGTGTAATTTGGTAAGTAGAACACCGTGTTAGGAGCAGTGATTATGTTTCAGAATTAAAAGCAGCAGGCTGCCCAAGGAACTGTCGTGTGATGTTGTGCTGCAAGGGACTAGAAAGCTCGGCTAGTCTGTCATTGCTCTCTGTGGCCGTTTTACCGGCTGCTCTTCAGCCGTGTACATGCCGGCTGGAGGGGAGCTTCTCTGTCAAAAGCTGAATCCCTTTCCCTTTATTTAGTTTCTTCCTGAACCTGCTAGCCCTGACTTCACCTATCGAACTTTATTTCACGTAACTAGAGCTCAAAATCTACGTCCACACAATGAGGTTTTCCCCTTTAACATACTAATGAATAAATTTCAATGAGCTCTCTTCACGTGCTTAAAATAAATTTCCTTGATGAAAAGCTACACAGAATGTCGAAGACTGAAGGTTGCAGGATAAGAAACATCACCTTATTCCAATTCTGGGGTGATTTCAAACCATAGCTATTTTGGCCAAGTTTCAGTAAATTCAAACTTTGCCTTATACCAAAATCTGCTTCACTGAGCTTTTTAATGCCACTTCAGTGAGTCTTCAGTTTCTAAGTCTAAGGATTTGAGCAGCTTATCATGCGTGATGGTCTCTATTCTGACATGGAGAGAGAACTTGAAACACTACCCTCGTATCTCTTCTCAAATACAGGAGTCACTCTCCTGCAAGCAGAGATCAATCTGTTCCTCCCACTGTCCTTTCTCTCAAGATAAATTATAAGCTATGGCTAGTGAGAGAGCTATTAATTACTGAAGGCAATCATCAAATGTAATTAATTGTAAGAGGAGGATAGAAATGAACTTTCTGGTTAAGTAACATTAAAACATACTCCTACCATTTAACTTGAACCCCACTCAACTTTTAAAATGCCTGTTTTTAAGTTATAAAGACAATGGAGAGTAACATAAAGAAAAAAAGGGGGAGGGGGAAGACACAGAAAGAGAAGGAATAAAACTTCGTGTTCCCAAACATATTACCAGCATAGCTTGAGCAGGAATTTGACAGCAAGTTGAAGCACACCCCCATGGACATGATTATGATACACTTCTTCCTCTATTAAATATAATAAAGGCATTTATCCATGGTTCTCGATTACTCTGTAATGGAACCCTGAGGTATTTTTACTGAAGGATTCTCTCAGGGGAAAGAACTGTCTTTAAGGCAAGTGATGAATTATTTGAAATATAATAAAATCATTGTGGATGGAATTTTTATTTTTTTTAAAAAATGTTCAGTCGGTGGATGTTTTGGTTTTTGTTTTTACGAATGGTCATGGTTTAACACAAAAGATAGGGCTGTTTACACTTGGTTCATTAAAAATTTTATTCTAAGGTTCACATGATCAGATCAAGTACAATTTAACCTAGGTATCCAAAATATTGTTTTTGTGTTAAGACTGCATAGTTATACAAACAGATTACCTTTAAAATTGTCTGTGATGAACTATCTGAATTAAAGATTTTTATGTACATTATATGTTGTAAATGTAGATGTAAGATTCCAGTGTTCGATGTTTTAACTTATGAACAAATAAAAACTATTTCACTTCAGGTAGTTTTGGAGATATATAGTCTTGGTCTTGAGTGTTCCTTTCAAAACCATCATTTGACACAATGAGGCATTTTGAGGTCAGACCTTAAACACAAGTCTTAGGGTGAACTGACTCATTTATTTTTAAGTGTTTGCTGATCAGCAGCAGATCAAGATGCAGTACTGAAACAGTGTAGTTACAACCACCCTTCTATTAAGAACTGAATACACAAAGTCCTGACTTGGTCTCCAAAGAAATCTGCACCGAGAATCTGATCTGCAACTTATATGAGCAATCAATCCCAAATACTTTATAACAAAAGCAGGAAATCAAGTATCTCCGAACCATTTTCTTCCCACTTCTCCACTATAAGAAAGGGAATGTAGTGAAGGGGCAAACAATACTATGTGGAATTCAAAATAACAAACCATTCCAGAAATTTCCCCTTTGAAAGGCAGTCATAGTTCTGTAATAGTTGTGTTCCTCTTGTCAAACTCTTCAGTTCCACTCCTCATGAAACTTAAAAATCATTCAAAGAATTTATAAAAATGGATTTCAAAAAGGGAGAAGAGGGAAAAAGAAGAAAAAAATCCTAATTAGCAATTTTACAGGTTAAAACCTTGAAGTGATCAATTCCAGGTCACTACATACAAAATTCCCCTCAATTTTGAGGCACGTAAAATATTTAAGCTAAGTACTAAGTAACATAGATGTGAATGTGTTTGTGTATGTGGGTGATGTGTATCTGTGTGCACATAACAGATCCAGATCTGTTGGTATTCCTTTTTTTTTTTTTTTTTAGGTTTTGTTACAATCACAATGTGTGTAAGATTAACAGAGAAAACAGGTTATCCTATTGACATTTATTTTTCTAAACATTTTATTTATGTGGTGAAACTAGAAACCTATGAAGGAATAAAATAGAAGGGTCTTTTTAAACTGGGAGGTAAAGCTACAAAGAACAACCGGGAACCAAAGGTTAAGTTTCATGGTATGGTGGGCATGGCACTTTTAAAGAGTAGCTTTAAAACATTAACTGTCAATGTTAATGTAAAAGCAAAAACAAGAAAACGAAAATCAGCTTCTTGTTAAAATACAGTAAGATACTGCTAAGAAACTGAGTACCAAAATGGTTCTTTACAAATCCCACCTCTTTTGTACTGTAAATAATTTATTATAGTCAAGCCTTTCAAAAATATGTGATATCTGAGACTTAAAGTCAACTTCTTTTTGGTACCAAATTACATTTGCTGCTGCTTTTAACAGGTTTAAAAGAAGTTTTTATAAACCATGTAACATAATCATATACAATCCACATATATAAAAAGGGTTGGTTTATTGTAGTTCAAATACATAAACTGAACATTCAAACATCTTAAAATTAAACTTTAGAAACAAAAGTTTAACATTCAAACAGGAGTATAGTTTACAGGGAACACCCAGAAAGGCAATCTGTTGTCTAACCCAGAACATTGAGAGAGATCACTGAATGGCGAGCACGTTTAACCAGCAGCTCTCGTCTGGCCAGCATGTTACATGATGACCGTGGTTCCACACCTGAGAAGAAATTACTCCATAAATCTTCTCTTAGGCTAAACAAGACTTGGCCTACAATTCAGAGGGGATAATCAAAGTACATAAGTGAACAAATAAAACTAAAGTGTTCTTTACAGACAAAGGTAAAAGTATGTCCATTATAATAATCTTAACCTCTGGAAGATAAGAATTCAATTTTCAGTGTTTTCTCTTTTACCCGCTTTAAAAAACAAAAACAAAACAAAACAAACCCCAACTTAAGTTTCCTTGGAGTCTGTGGTATTTGTATCTTGCAAGTTCAAACCACAAATACTCCTATGTCTTCAAGGTATAACACTGCTAGAAAGAATGTCACCAAAAGTCACTGACTGCCACACCTCATAGAAGGATGATTTTTTAGCTTCAAGATTTTAGATTTACTAGAGACAGCCTACATTTGAGTATGTATGTCAGTCATGCCACACAAAGAAGAGCATAAATATTCCCAAAGTGTTCTGTCAGCAACTGGTCACGAACGCTTCTCCTTCTGTCCGTCAGATGGTTTTGCGATAGTTTGACTAATGCACATACATGTAAAAACCTGAAAACTGGCTCATGCAAGCATTTTGAATCAACAGATACCCCTGTGGAAGAGTGCGCAGAACTATTTTGTTGACCGTCGGGTGGGCTCTGAGGCCGTGGGAGGCGGGGGCGGCCCCCGGCGGTCCAGGTCGTCCACGTACGCCACGATCAGTTTCCGCCTCTCCTCGGGCACACAGTCTAGTACTAGATACCGTTTGTCATTCTGCAAAATTTTTTCTACATCTTTCAGGTGCTGATCAGATTCCTGGATTAGCTTTTTGGATCTGAAATAAGAAAAGAAGTCCAAGAATTACTGGCTGCTGTTCATAGGTCTTTCAGATATGAGCTGGAAATGTCCATCTACTTCCTAATTGTGTTTCCATTTTTTTTTTTAAGAAAAATTTCACTGCAGTGGTCACCTCTGTAAGTCGCCTCAGCAAAGACTCCAAGGAGTGAAAGGGCCTCAGAAGCTGCATTACCCTCCCACCCCTACTGGCGGTCCCTCCAGATCAGGGCTGAGGGTGGGTGGGTGAGTCTTGCCCGTGCTGTACCTGTTCTGTGGATGAACAGAGGACTTCAGTCTGCGGGGCTGCCAATCCCAGCATCTTTCACAAGCTTTCACTTTCACATCTTTCACTAAATTAACTATAAAAATGTAGAAAGAAGTCTTACTTCACATCTAATTTAAAAGCCCAAGCTGATGCAAAACATTAAGGATCCTGACCAAAAAATCCAATGACAAAATACCTAAAAACCACACCCTCAGCACTATCTATCCTCCCGTGCACATACCCTTCATTAAGATGTTTCAAATTTCTCTTTTATAGGAAGAAAAGCTGGAGCATGAAACAACCAGGGTTTCCTGCATTGATACTAAGCAACGTCACACTGTTCTAATGGCGAACTGTTGGGGCTAGGGCACGACTGGGCATGCTACAGCGAAATCCTGTTTTAAAGCTCTGATTTTATAATTAAAAAATTTCTTTAAAGTATGCAGCAAACTGCTTCCCTCTGAGAAAAAATGTTTTCACTGAGCTTAAACAAGATGATTTCAAGCTTGAGAATGATTCAGCAACACTGAATGGTCTTCAGAGGAGGCAAAGATAATTGATAGTGAAGGATTATTTTAAAAGTCTGTTCATGAAATACAATTCGTATATAGTTGGGGGGCGCTCCTAAAAAAGCAGTGAAGTAAAAACAAAAGTCTG